CTTTGAGTACTCAGGACTGCGAAACTCCTTCAATACCTTCACCTCTTCCATCCACACCCGTCCGCTAGATGAACCAAAGGTGAAAACGGAGGACAGTGTAATGGACTGATAGTGAGTGAAGTCGTGGTCGATACTACCCCTAAAAGGTCGGAGGACAGCTGGGTTCTCTTGCTCTATTGATTACGTGGGATTGATAATCGGTTCATTTCGAATGCGCCTGCACATTGATGTATCGGTTGCTTACGTGATACTGGACAATCAGAACACAAATCACCCTGTGCAGTTCTCAAGCGTATGTGATCGATGGACATTTGAAGTGAACATTGCATGGGAAAAGACCATTTATTGTCCGAATGTACCATCATTACACCTTGTAAGAAAAACACGTGTGCATTGGTCCGGTTCAGTAGGGACGGGTAAGGGTTGGCTGTGTAGTGTGTGGTTTTGACAATTGAAAACTGAGTGTCCTTGCGAATTGTTTTTGTGAGCACAGAAAGGGGGCAGAGGATTACGATCAATTCCGTTGCGGCCAAAATGCGATCCCCAATCCCCTGGGATCGACGACTATGAACGAAGTACAGAGGTCACATGGTTTGACTCTACTTGGTGTGAAACGATGGAACTGTTGATGGTCTTGATCACGCTATTATTCAGTCAGGCCGGATTATGCTCACGCACTCGTTCACAAAAACGCCTGCTCGTACGACCAATATACTTTGTCATACAGGAACAGGTGAATAAGTGTACACAGAAAGAGACTACAGAAACAAGCCAGTTATCTTTGAGTTAAAAGAACAAGGATGGCCTGGAGATGAACATGATGCAAAGCTTCGCTGTGAGAAATGTTTTTTTACCCACAGCTGTACTCAGTTTGCCTATCACCACCTCGGTAGTAGTGTTGCCCTGAAAACAACGCTTCTAGGTCTGGACAATCAGATTTTCAGAGAAACAATCATTCAAGCAATGACGTAGCAACGTCGCAAAGCCTCGGATAAGATAGGACGTCCCACAAAACAATTCACGTGACCCACAGTTTGGTCAAAGTTTATCAGACAGTAAAGTGATTATGAGATTCATTAGGGTTGAGGTAGCTTACTCATCACAATCGACGAACATAGTTTAAATCACAAACTCAAGGACGGTATGTACACTACTGGTGGTATCCAGCACCCCTGGTGTCTCTGCATTTGCTCTAATCCATCTGTGCAGGTCACGTGCCTTTCGGTGTGTTGGTAAAACATCCCCATACCACGCAATCGGACAAGGAGATTCTGCAGGCCACATTCAACTCGGTTCGTGAACTGGTCGGACCGGTAGCTGCGTTCAACCAGGCCTGTTTGGTGCCCAAATTGCCGAAAACACGATCGGGGAAAATTTCGCGAGGAAGTTTGGCCGAAATGGCAGCGGGTAAACCTGTTCGAGTAAGTCGCTAAAATTCAGGGGACAGTTTTGCAATCACAAAATAACAATGGCATTTCCAAATCACTTTTTACATAAATAAATTATTTGCAGGTCGGACGTTATGAGTCCTTGATTAGTTAAAAACCTAGCTAAATTCTAATCAGCAGAACCTTCATAGAAGGGATGATGAAGAAAGGATGAGAATAATCGTAAATCGTTTTACTGTTACATACTTGTATTCAGACCCCCGTCCAGAGTCAAAAAGCTTACATTTCGGTACAGAAAAATCATTCATTGAGTGATGTGTTAAGCAGAAAAATGGAAAGGGAATGAAAAGGTAAAAAAGGTTTAGTTTAGCTAGCTAGCTAACTAGATAGATAGATAGATAGATAGATAGATAGATAGATAGATAGATAGATAGATAGATAGATGGATGGATATATCACTAGAAAGATAGATAGACAGATAGATAGATAGATAGATAGATAGACATATAGATAAATAGACAGATAGTTAGATAGATATTCAGATACATAGATAGATAGATAGATTTGGATGGATATATCACTAGAAAGATAGATAGACAGATAGATAGATAGATAGATAGATAGACATATAGATAAATAGACAGATAGTTAGATAGATATTCAGATACATAGATAGATAGATAGATTTATAGCATAGATAGACAGAAATATGCATAGATATATAGATAGATAAACAATCGATGGACTATAGATAGATAGATATATAGATAGATTGCTACATAGATAGATAGATAGATAGATAGATATAAGATAGACACAGTGAGATAGATAGACAGATAGATAGATAGATAGATAGATAGATAGATAGATTTGATATAGACAGATAGATGAATAGATAGATAGATAGATAGATAGATAGATAGATAGATAGATAGATAAAGAGACAGATAGTTAGATAGATAGATATATAGATAGATAGATAGATAGATAGATAGATAGATCAATCGTTAAAATTGTCCAGCTTTCATTCACGATTGTCTTACAATTTTTTCTCTCCGCTTTTATTCTTGTTAACCCAAATATGAGCAAGAAAATAGTGCCGGGGAATCACTCGTAGTAAATGGTTTTCTTTGGGCAATCCGACGCCTCTGCATTTGGATCGCGTGGATGGATGCGACTGAGATGCAGATAAATCATGGTGCTGGATGTTAAACTTTTCACCGGTTTCGTTGAAGAGCCACGCATTACTGATTTAAAGTATATATTCAGAGAGTGCTCCTGACGTGTATGGACATATTTCAAAAGAAACCCGAAGATAGATAGGGATGTATTGAAAGTGCTTATCGGGGAAATCGTTAAAAATAGCAACGAATTGATAGTTTGAAGTATGGTTCAAAAATTGATTTCAGCAGCAATGCATTTGGGGGAGGGGGAGAGTCATTTGCATAGACCGGACTAGTTTATATCGGATCACGCTTTTAGAAAATGGATTTTCGGAAAAGTTTATTGATCGTAACCTGCTTAAACGAACGAAACCTGTGCCCGTATTTGGAGCTGAGAAAAAGACCCTAATCATCAAACGAGATCCAGAGGCTGAAGAGGGCAATGCAGACCTCAATACCGCAGTAAAAGCAACACTGAATGCTGCAAAACTCAAATTCGTACCCTCGACATCTCTAATCATTTGATGTCATGTTTACCTCGACAGTGCTCATCTACCAATACCAGAGCACCTGTGGTGCCACTTAGGTTGGTCTTACGATAAGGCAGCTATCTAAACGTATCGACAACCATCACCCGATGTAACTTATACACACACTAAAGGAATGGGGCTATCTCAAGTTATATTGTTGTATATGTGATCAAGACTGAATATCTAGTGGACACTACTTTAGATTTCACCAACAGATACCGATTTACACAACACAAAACCAGGGCTACTCCACGCTAGTAATCTGTTAAGAGGGAGCGCACAGACCCCCTTCGGCCCGTCTACGAATCCACGGCACGCCAAAAGCACGCTGGTAGCGCCTAAGACAAGGACCCGACTTGCCTTAGGCGCTGCCAGCTTGCTTGAATGATTGAATGACTAGAATGAATCAGACCGATTGACCAATCGGAGTGTGAATGACGCGATTTGACTGGTGCGTTACCATGTCGTTCTCGAATGTTACATTTACGTTCCGCAGCATGATGATAGAATACATTCCGAGTGTTTTTCTCCAATCCTATTCTCTCTTTCGCACTATTGTTGGTGGCTAAGCAGGAGGCGCTCGTGTACATTGTATGTCTTGGCAGAACGTAACACAATCATTCTCATTCGCTTGTTAAAGCCAAACTTCTATGGACAGAAAGACACGCTGGTTCAGACCCCCAGACCTCCGTAAACGGGTTCATTAAACAGTATCACACTCTCCTTCTTTCCCTACATAAATATGGTTAATGATGAAGTCAACGAAAACATGTTCGACTACCATCTGTGTACAGACTGGGTTCTCATATCTTTTTTGATAGCACATTGCTTTTATACAATACTTTCAAATTTACGCAAACGTTCGATACCATTGAGAGTTGTCTAATGAGCTGTCAAGTTAGGTGAATTTTCGTGTGAAATTCACAATCGCAGTCTTCGGCTAGCCAAAACCTGACTCACAAGGAAACAAGGTGGTGTGGTGAAATCACGTTCCTTTCCGGGCCGGCGTCCAGTTCATCGGATCACGCCCTTCGGACGGGGTCAAACGTCCATGGTGCCCAATATATCTCGATACCCCATTGAGCCGGTAACCACTGCCTCAACGAGCAACATGTGGGTATGTGTTTTTCATACGTTTCTTCTTGGTTGGCTTGGAATCAAGGTTTTTGGCCAACTCCCTTAGGTAAACTGTCAGTGATTCAGCTACCCGGTTATAGCCCAGGGTGTTGGCTTTTCGTCCTCTTACTTTGATGGGAAAAGACCCTCGCCACGAGAAGACAGTGAGTAGGACTTCCTCAGTGAAGATTAATCGCGAAGCTTGATCGAATAGGAGTATTTGGTGAGGTCCAAGGGAAGGGTGATGAGCCACAGCTCCCGACCATACTGAGGATTTCGGAGCTGAAACGAACGGTTGCACAATGGTTATTAATTCCACGGTATCAAATACTCCACAGTAGAGTGACGCATGAAACCCACAAGACCTAATTCCTTGTATCAAAACAGGTTTATCAAGGTACAGTACTGGAACACAAGTTTGGAGATAAATGATAAAGTGTACAGTAAACAAACCTGAAACTGTGGGACAA